GTAGACCTATTGTCATTGAAAACTCATGCATCGCTCTAGTAGTTATTCATATACTAATTAACGCTCTATCGTACATATCTCTCACCGAGTAGATGTAGTGTTTGGAGACTCATTTGTTTTCCAACACCCACCACTCATTTGTACACTATCATAAGCTTTCACTAGATAAATAAAAACCATATAGAAGTATTTTCCCTTTGCCCTAAACTTCTCAATCAGTTGCCTAAGTAGGAAAATAACCTCAAATGTTAACTTTCCTGGTATAAAACCAAATTGGTTTTTTGATACACTCGTTTAATGTCTTAGCCGTTGCTTAATCACTAGCTCATAGAGCTTCACAGCATAATTCATAAGTTTGATCCCTCAATAGTTCGTACAAATAAGTATTTTTGCTTTATTCTTGTAACCAAAATTTTGAAGCTTATTTTTAACTTTCTTAATTTTCCAAACCTCCCATAGAATAGTAGCCAAAGAATTTTCAGTGTACATTTCCCCACTTTAGGAAGCTTAGGTAAGTTCAAATGATCCAAGACATGACTAGTTGCTATCGGAGTTGCAAGTTGAATGCCCATCAATTTGAAAGCCTACATCCAAATCTCATAAGTAAAAGGAGAGCTAAGAAATAGATGGTCACCAGTTTCGTCCTCAATTTTATATAAAATACAAACATTTACTATAACATCAGCCCTTATCACCAGAATATCTATCGTGAGACTGCAATCAAGAAAGAGCACACTATACATTCTACAACAAAAAAAATCCATAGACCTGAGGTTTTAGAAACCACTAATCTTGATTGGAATCACTCGATCCGGATTCGCAATCGGGGGGAGTCATTCCAGTTCCCCAATAATATTTGAATCCAGTTAGTTCCCACTAGGAACCGGCCGATTCTAGCCACAAAAATTGCTTTTTCTATTAGTGAACCAGGCTAGATCACTAAATTCCTATAATATATTTATTTATTATAATTTAAGTTTTTATTTATTTATGGCCCACGACTACCAATACGAGTGCAAAAAAGCCATGCTTAACGATTCCCTTAAGCACGACTTCCCTTTTAAACGGATTTGGTCCCCCTGTCTATTGCATATCACCAACGTGGGATTAAACATCAAAACCACTTTTGAGTATGAATTTGCTTCAGGAATATGATAAGCCCGATGACCAAACTATATAAATCTCAATTTGGACTTTAACCTAATTTGCCACCTCTATGTAGGGCCATGCTAGGGTTCATCATAATCCAAACTCACCCGAAATCGTTGCCATCACATGGCAAAAATATCAAAAAAATAAAAATAAAAAAAAATTAAAGCTCCATGACATCAACTAATGAGAATTTCGTCATTGTCATCTGTTTGCAAATTGAACAACGTCGATCAGCAAATTCGACCAAGAGAAATAAAGAGACACGAGGGAGCCTTATACTTTAGACCTTGGGGTGACAACGGGTTGGATCATGTCCAGCTAGATCTAGACCCTGATCCAAAAAATTGATATGGGACCCGGACTTGATCAGATCCGACCCAAAAATTAAAATATCTATGTATTTAACTGTATTTAAATATGTTTAATATACTGGGACCCTCAAAAGATTATTGGACCCCAACCTTGGACCCAAACCCGGACCCGTATAGTGTTATTGGTTCCAAGATTTGGACCCGAACTCGGACCCATATAGTGTTCTTGGGTCCAAGATTTGAACCCGGACCCATATAGTGTTTTTGGGTCCAAGATGGGCTCTACTCCTTGGGCCTGGATCGGGTCCGTGTCCATTGCCACCCGTGCTTAGGTCCCCAACAACTTGGGTTTCATAATCCATGGCTACATCCTCGGCTAGCCTCTTCACCTTCACACTCACAGTCCACGGACCTCCATTTGCTTGATCCATTAAGCCCCTTCTTCTAGCGATTTCCGAATCCTAACACGAATACCCCATGAAATAAAAGCACTCTCTTATCCAAATAAAAGCAAGACCCCACCCCTCTATCCAAATAAAAGCATTTCAACTGTCAAATCCTTTTAAATTGTCATCCCAATTCCTTGTTTGACTTATAAAAATATTTGAATTGTTGTTGTTATAAATTATGTTAAATTGAATTCTTATATAAACTATGTTATTATCATATTTAATACAAATTAATAATTTGTAAATGAAAATTCTTACATATTTTTTCAAAAAGTGTCAATTATAATTATATTTTAAAAAGTTACATTATCTTTTCCAAAAAAATTTGTATTTTTTAATACACAAAAACTACTATTTTGGTATGAGGTTATTTTTTTATCACTGTATACTCCATTGTGGATTATGTATTCATATCAAAGATGCAAATCGTAATGTAATGGTCAAAGTGACATTCAAATAAGGAATGACATCTCAATATTCACATATTTTAGAATATAATGAAAATTCATAATGTACAAACCCCCAGTTTATATTGAAAACTCACAAAACATCATTTAAAATGATTTTTTGAAAATTTTTAAAGGCCGGATCTAGCCGATTCTCCAATATAGACAGCCAATCGTCCGATCCAAACTGGGTTTCCGAATGGCTTACCAGGGTCATTGATCTATTTTTTAAAGGGAAAGGTTCTAGCATAGAAGTTCTATACTCCCCCTACTATCCAGCCGTCCAAGTTTGATCAAGAGAGCCACTCTCTGTTTGATCTTAGATCTGACGTCTCAAAGTATTTTATTTTTAGTTTTTTTTGCACAAATTGTATGAATATGAAATTTGGTACGTGCTATCTACTCATTGGGGCGCACCTATAAAAAATATTAAAAATAATTTTTTGATAAAATATAATGACCAAAATATCTTTTGAAACTTTCAAAAGTATTTTATTATTTTATTGGAAATATATTTTTATATTTTTCGCTAGTGTGAGTTTAATAGAGGAATGAACGTCAAAAATTTGGTGTCAAAATAGTTTATAAAAAAAATTTAAAATAAAATAGTCTAGAGATGTGACATTGTGATGGAGGCAATCTTAACCATCTATTCAAAATAGATGGTTGGATAAGGGGGAGGATAGAACTTCTATGTTGCAGAAAAACATAAAAAGCTTGCCTTTTTTTAAAACCTTACAAAGAACTATGTTGTCCAAAACATAAAACCATAAAATGGAATCAAACAACCAATACAAAATTAAATGACAAATGCAACAAATTATTTCTCATTTACCTCTAGGTGTCCTTAACAAAAAGAACCAGTAAACTTCATTAGAATTGAAACATCATTTCATTAATTTCCTTTTGGGGTAAACAAACCCAATCTTCCTCTTCTTAGTAAGAGCTTCAAAACGTTTATAATTCCAATTGACCTGAGACCCCAATAAGGACTGCTATCCAATCCTACGTGACTTTATCCTAGGATGACAAGTGTAGGGTCGGATGTGAGTGTCAATAGGAAAAAATACTTGTGATGTTGCCACGTGTCCACACAGAGGTCAGAAGAGGGACGGGAGCCCAACCCAACCCATGTGCTTCGAAGTGTGTCTCTCTCTAAAAATCTCTCATTCTCTCTCCTCTCTAGTGAGTGTGTTTTATGGCCTCCTCTCTCTCTCTAAAAGCCGGGCCTGTTGTATACTCTTTCTATAAGTCCAAGAAAGATTGTCCCCTCTACTCTCTTTCCCTTAGAAGTTAAGGAATTGCAATCTTAAAATGTAGAATTACGGACGCATTTCAAAAATCCATAAAAAAAAGGTGGTTTTAATGTTGAAAAACTTTTAATTGATCATCACGAAATCGAGATGAATTGAGTCCTAAAAATAATACATCTTGCAACGTATTATCTAGATTGTCCAATTTCAAGATTTTCTAACCATTTTTGGAATTTAAAATTTCATGATTAGATATGAAAAAAGAGTTTCAAATAATCTTAAGATTTTTTTGAACCAAAATCACATATTATGATAAAATTTGGGGGTGCGTCTTAATTAAAATGTTTAAGGTTGCAACCTTATAGAAACCACACCCATAAGTTAGCGGTTTCTCTCTCTAATATCTAAAAAGCTATTACTTATTTTCCTTTTTCATTTTCTCCCTGTTGTTAATGTTTTAACGTAAACCACTTTTTTTTTTTTGGACAATATTAAGTATTTTTATTAAAGAAAGCATCGATTACATAATTGTAATCAAATATAATCAGATATAAAAATAGATTTTAAGATAATCCTAAGAATATTTTGCATCAAAAACTGTATACCATGATAAATTTGAAAGTGCATCTTACCTCTACATCTACGGATACATCTATATACAAAGTGCACCAAAAAATATCACCTTATCCCCTATTTTTAACTTTCATATCTCAAGAGACCCGATAATTGAAAATATTACTTGTAAGTAAACGATCTTCATTTTTTTTACTTTACAACCCCTGGATCCCTTTGACCATCACCCAAATAAACACTAAAATGACATCTTATTCAAACTCCATCTGTCTCTTTAAAACTCCATCTCTCTCTTTGCTTCTTGGTGAGTTTACCCGTCAAGGGGTTTAGCTTGAGCTCGAACATGAGCACACCTTCTTATGTGTGAAAGAGAGATGATGTTTTAAAAAGAGGGATGGAGTTTTGAGAGATAAAGATGATGATGAGAGAGATGGAGTTTCGAGAGGTGCAGCTGATGATGAGAGAGAGATAGAATCATTTCATAAGTTGTTGGTATCAATAATACATGGTCAAAAAGGTTTAGGGGTTGAAAGGTAGAAAAGATGAAATTTATTTGCTTACAAATAATATTTTTATTTAGATTTAATGAGATATAAAATTTAAAAATTAAAAATAATATGATATTTTCCCTAAATTTTATACTCACCCGAGTGTCCTAAATTCTCCCTCATTTTGTTTACTTTTGGGGGAGTGGGGAGAGAGTACGTAGTGGAGGGGGAGAGAGAAAATTGAGAGAGAGGAGAGAGGAGAGAGAGAGATGGGGGCAGTGGATTTGCGTGTAACTTCCGAACAACCCTTTATAGGATTTCAACACTCTCTCTCTCTCTCCATATAGCCCACGAATTTGGTCATGAGGCGTGAAACCCTTTCTCTTGAGAGGGCACGGCTGATCCCAGCAAGTGCTCCACAATCTGAAAATTGAGAATTCTTCTTGTTCATGGCATGGCACCAAGCTCTTGTCCCCCTACAATGCTTGCTTTGTAGAGGACAAGGTAAACGATCTGGTTGTTTCTTCATCGGATAAGAAGAAACTGATTATTTTGAAACATCAACTGGGTCTTTTGCCCCATTAATCCCCTCTGCTTACACGATATCTAGGTTTTTGCGGTTAATAGTACGGATTGGACCCGAGGGTGATGGTGCTTTTTTGTGTTTCTTCCTCTTGGGGTTGGGGGTTTCTAAGCTTTCTTGGAATCAGGAAAGAAGATTCTCGCCATTGATCTGGAATTTACTCGGGTTTGGTTGGTGGGTTTTCTAGGGTTTTGATAGGATCACTCACTGGTATGACAGAGGTCTTTCTTTGTCTCTTGTGTGGTGTGAAATTTTTAGGGTTCAAGATCGTTTTCTGGTGGTTTGGAGAGAGAATTGACGTGGGAAGACTGTATTTTTAAGGTATTGATTGGGCAAACAGATAGTGAGCACTTGATGTTCCACTGAGTGGTTTGGAGATCTCAAGGGGATTCATGGGCCCCAATTCGGTTTATCAAGAGAGCCCTAGTTGCAGTTGCTATAGTTTCAAGGGTTTGTTTTGTGATTTTCTTTCACACTAAGTGACTGCTACTTAAATCTGTTAGACAAATGGTAAATCTTATACTGGACATGGAAGAAGATTGCACTTTCAAATTCATGGGGGTTTAATTTGCTTGTTCCTTATCTGCAGATGAATTGTGATTGTTCTCTTGGGATTATAGAATAAAGCTCCCAAATTCCACGTTATTCTCCCTTCAAGTTTTTAAGTAGGGTTTCTAGGCTTGAGGGTTCTCAAATTAGGTTTTATATAACTGAAACTTTGATAATAATTTAGGGGTTCTTGTCTCTGGCTTTTGCTGATCTTGGGAATGCTTCTACTGCAGATTCAGAGGCAGGTGTCCATTAAAAGGAATTGGGCAATAATTCTCTCTCATTTCACGCCAAGAACTGCCTTATTTACTTGCCCTGGACCTCTGTTTTCCAAGATCCCATTTGGATTGACATATACCTGAAAAACCCATCTCACACATGTTTTGTTTTTGATTTTTTATTTATTTGAACTCTCATAGAGGCTTCTCTATCTATAGAAATAACTGTGCATGGCCATTGGTCTGAAAGTTTCCATGAATCTACTCTCTCTTTGAACTTTTGATCACTGGCCTAAGTTTTTCCTTGAATCTGCTCCCATTCTCAAGTTTTAAGTATCTGGAATGGCACCCACTAATTATCACTTTCCTGGGCAAAAGTGCTGAATTGTATTGGTCTTTGGGAGCCTTCTTGTGGTTGTCATTGCAACTGCTCTCTCAAAGCAGTTGGTGGTGCATTGGGTGTGGCGTGCTGAAGGCTGGAAATGAGTGTGGTGACATGGTGCATGAGAGGGAGTTCAATTCTCTGTTGGTTTCTTTATTGGAACAGTTCAGCCACTGGAAGTTGGGTATAGGCATTATTTTCTCGGTGGAAAAAGCCTGCATTTCCATCACAGGGGTTTTGTGCCATGTCTCGGTGCTTCCCATTTCCACCACCAGGATATGAAAAGAAGGCTAGGGGCGATGATGTTGAGTTATTGACGAAGGTCTATTCTCTTTCATAAGTTTTCAATTCCCTAGTGTCACTTATTTCTTTCATGTGATGTTCATGTTTAGCGTCTTTTCTGCTTTTAGTTACTCAACCAGGTCGTTTTATTATCTGATAGGGCTTTTAATGTTTTGTTTTATTTTTAAATATAATATTAGAAAAACCATACAGAAAATAACATTTGATATTTTCATTACTATATAGGATAATCCATTAGAGCTTCGGAAGTGTAAGCTTGTGAAAATGAATACTATTTTCTGATTATGAATACAGATAATAAGCATATAGATTTGCATCCTCTTAGTTGGAACTCCTTGGTTATGTTACATGATGCTGTCTACTACTTTTGTTTCTGTCCTTTGCATAATGTTTCATCTTGTCACTCCTTTCGAGCATTGCTGGTAGCTTGAATGAATTTCAATCCTCACTCTTTGTTTTTCTTCTCTTTAACCTTTTTGTGGTGCTGGTAGGGAATCCAAAACAATTGGTATTTGTGCCACATTAGGTGTAACTTCCTAACTCAATGTTAAACCATTGCGAAATACTGAAATGGTAGCTGTCGGTGAGATATCTGTTCTACAAAGAAAAACCAGTATATACAAGGAACGGATTAAGTCTAGTGACCGTGCAATACATAAATAGTTGAATAGAGAATAATGCACAATTTTGGCAGAAAATCACCGTATCGACACCTCTATGATAAGAATGAAGAAGCCTCAATCTTTATGCGGGGAAGAGGGGGCTGCTATGTGTCCACATCTTCACTCAACTAGAGTTATACTGGATAGGGAATTGAAGGGTTTAGCTAAATTCAGGCTAAAACTCTTCTTTAAATATATTACATGAGGGGTCCAATTGCAAAGTGGCCATTTTAGGAGTTATTGGTCAATCAGACACAATAACAACATATCCCATGGACGACCATATGTCCCCTATAACCTGTCAAAAATCATGTGAAGAAGCTCTTGTTAGTGAATATATTGCATGTTGTACTCTTGAGACTCATTCTCAACTGTATCATGGTTTGGGTTCATATTTTCCTTCACGATTCTTTTTGCCTTTCCTATTTCTTTGGGAAGTGGATTACCTTAACATTATTGGGCTTGAAAGTTTTTCCTTCGCTCTATGTTGAGGTCTCACCTGTGAACAGGAAAATAAGAAAAAATAACTATTCAACCGGAAGTGGCTAATATTAACTAGTTGGTTCATCATTGTATTGTCATATCCTGAAATGATTGCCTCATCATTAGAATTAAAATATTTTCTTAACCAAATAATCAGTGCACCCAAAGTGTTGAGAAATGAATGCATGAGATCGTACTCACTAATAAAAAAAGAAACAAAGAAGCAACCATCCTTAGTTGCTCTGATGAGTTTTTTCCATAGGTTACCTATACATGCTAAAACAGGGTTATTCAACTTGTTTGGTTTTTATGGGAGTAGCTTTAAGGACTTGAGTGCTTGACCTCCCTCACCCAAACTGGGATGGGCCAGTCTAAGGGACCTCTTCTGCTAGGCTGCTAGCTGTTAGAACAAATAAAGTTAGAAACATTCCAAATGAAGGGGAAAGATCAAAGCAAATATAATGGCATACTTTGATTTCCTGTACTCAACCATTGCTTAAGTCAATCAAATCATGGATGTAGTCATAAAACAAGGTGTCAAATCTACAAAAGCTATCCAATGCCTTACATAGAATATTTGGTTCTTTAGTAATTTTGTTTCCTTTCGGAGTATAGAAAAGTTGAAAAAGAATGGTTAGGTAGCAAATCAAATGAAAGACCTTGATAAAAGGGCGAAACACAAACATAATGTTAAAGCAAGGCCAAACATGAGTAAATTGAAGTCAGAAGATGGAAATTAGTGCATATTTTACCTGATGGAACTACTACATTTCAGAAAATTTATAGGCTGCCTTGCACTACGTATGTTACCTATATCTACAATAGTTCCATACATTGAATCATGTGTGCACACGCCAAGATAGTGAGGGGTCTGAGTAGATAACCCGCGCTCCTATTGATGGTGAAGAATGTATATGGTGTAATAATTACAATGTAAGGCACATAATGAGCTCTTGCAAGCTCTCTGTAAATAAACTTGTCACTACATACACTCAATGCACTCAGTTTGTTGGGGAATTCAATCCCCATCTTCTATAAATGATTCTTTTGTCTTCATCCTTAGGTTATGTTTTCATGGTTCGGGGGAAAAGAATTGTATCTGGGATGCCACTTTTGATTACCCAACATATCTCTCTTATAACCCTTTGGAATGATTGCTTGCAATCTTCTTTCGACATCTGATTTCTTTCTTGCCAAATGACCCATAGAGTCATAGGGAACAAGACATTCCAAATTTTAGCAAGATATTTATTTGTGATTTTCTTTTTGAACCAATTTGGAGACTGGGGGTAGTTTGATTGCCTATTCCATTAGGGTTGAATCTCCACGCTATGGATTTTTATAATGTCACTCACAAAATTGCATGAGATGAATATGTGGTTGTGGATCTCAGAGTCAGATGAATACGTGGTTGTGGATCTGGGATGTGGATACAAGAAAAACATTGTATCTGAGATCTACAACCATGCATTCATCTCAGTCTCAAGAGGCATTAGGATGGATATATTGGTTTTTTCCCCTTGATCTATAATCATTTGATGTGCACAATGGGAGTTAAGGTCACCGCTATTATTGGGAATCCATGTGAGTCTTTCAACAAGTCCATCATCATCTAAGGCCCATTCACCATGACATGGAGCCAATGGGAGAGGTTCGCATATGCCTCTGCAAGCCCAATAATATCCTCTTGTGACTTTAAAGGTTCCTATATGATACCTCCAAAAATATCTTTCCCAATTAAATCCAACCCAAATTGTGCAAGTAAGGACTTGTTGATATTCTTAATTCTTTTGATGCCAAGTCCACCATCATTCTTAGTTTTGCAAATGGTGCTCTATTTGACAAGGTTTGGGTGGCTTTGATTTTGATGGTTACCCCAAAGAAAGTTTTTATGGAGCTTCTCTAGGGTGTTGAGGATGGTTGAAGGTAGTTGGAATGTTAAAGTGTGAGTGGGGAGAGGCATGAGTTAAGGGTTAGTCTAACTGGATGAGATAAGGTTTGTATGTTCCAACTTTTGAGTTTTGACATGGTTCTCTCAATTTAAGGTTGGCATAGTGTAGGGGCAAATACAGTGAAGTTGATAGTAGTTCCGATGGGGTTGCATTTTATGAATTGGCCAATTTGGGATTTGTTCGAATTTTGAGGAATTGAATAAGAAAAATGTTTGTTTCGGTGGAGTTGTTTTGCAAGCCAGCCAAGGTTTCAAAAAACTCTAGGCGGTCAGCTTAACACTCAGCGCCCAACACCTAGGTGGGCTCCCAGAACCTCGTGCGCCCTGTATTACAATTTTTATGATATATACACATATTTGCTGTCTAAATGCAACATATATGCATATATTTGTGTCAATTTTGTAATTTATTGCATTTGAAAATATTGTAACACACGTTTTTATAACAAACATATGATATATCGGCATATCGCATGTTGATTGTTGAGAATAAGCTTGTTCAAAATTTCAAAATTCAAACCATAATAAATTGACTCTCTAATTCTCCATATTCAATATCCATAAAGTAAACTATTATAACATTCAGGTCTCCAACTCTTCAAGTCTTCAACAAACTGACTTTCCAAAGTATAAAACCACACAACAAAATAGTCCAAAAAGGCAAAAACAAGTATGTCTAACATCCGAAATCCAATGTCTAAAGCTCAAACCAAGATGGTGCAATAAAGATACTACAAAAGAAGAGAGATGACATCAACAAGAATCCAAATCATCATAGTTATTGCTTGCATTTGCATCGGAATCGAGGCCGTCATCATCATAATCATCGCCCTCCTCAACATATTCCTCTTCTTCCATAGATTCTCTCAATGTATCAAAAAGCGCTAGGCGGGTCCTAGGCGGCCTGGGGGGTCCAAGCCGCCCAGCGCCTAGGCGGGCGCCCAGAACCTGAGCGACTGCCCAGTTGAAAAAAAAGTAAAAAACATGCCAAATTACCAATATACCATATTCCAAGTTGAAAAAAAAAAGATAGACGTTAGAAGGGAATTTTGATAATCCATATTGTTAAAACAGTAAGCTGTAAAACCATACAAGTGTAGGATATAAAAGTCAACACTCAACACAACAAAAATATACAAAAATTTAGAAAATATACAGTTTAACGAAAGTTAATACTCATGACTCAACACAACAGTCGACAGACTCAACACTCAGCACCAAGAGACAAGAGTCTTCAGTCGTCGTCACCGTTTTTTTGAACAATGGATTCTCCTGAATCTACCTCCTCTCCTCTATATCCCTCTGTGAGTTTGAAGTACCAGCAAAAGTCGTTGCTCGAGTAGCCCTCTTAGGATCAGAAGCTCGTCCCGAAGCCTCCTCGACCATTTGCCAAACCCTCTCTGGGGAAGACCTCCTCAGTACCAGGGTCCCCAACTGGCCAATTTGAAGCATTCTCCATGTCTTTCGAAGCGACGGGATCCTTCTTGGTTGTTTTTCTTCTCCTTGAGCCTCTGATTCTCTCTAACATAAACCAAGTCATTGAGCTTCTTTTGCTCAAGCCTATTTCTTCTCTTTGTATGCACCTATAAGGAAAAATGCATGAGTACTAGTCTACTATGATCTTCTTATATTCTATGAATGTATATTAGAAAGATGAACTACTAAACAAGAAAAACATGTAAAATAGAAAAATACCATCTCAAACGAACTCCAATTGCGCTCACAACCACAAGAGGTAGTTGTCAAACTCAAGATCCGAATAGCCATCTTCTGGAGATGTGGAGCGCTACTCCCATGTTGTGGGCTGCAATATGTGGACAACCTTTATAACTAATTTAAGTATTTATAAAGAAAAATAGAAACAATGAAACAAAAGTACAAAACATATTACCTGGTTTATCTTTGTTTCTCTTTCTTAGTGCC